CATATGGAGCAAATACTTTGTTCGGTATAATTTTCATGAAAATAGGCAGATTTATTGCAGCGGGTTTATGTAATAACAGAAACGAAAGTGCATATATCGTCCCGGGTGTACCTCGATCGGACAAAACTTTAGCTTTCATTAGCGTATAAATCGAGAATGCACGCGAGGCGCGTTTTGATTTCGCGAGAGTTACATTCTACCCCTGTGAACGGCAAATATTTAATCGTCGAGAGTATAATTTTTAAACCGAACGTATAACAATAATTCGCTCGCCCGTATCATAAATGTTCATTACAACGTTAAAGAAAATATCGGCGTATTTCGCGTGTGCCAGTTAATTGGTAATCCTCCCTACGAACATGATATTCGCGGATGCGCACGGATTGATAAAATTCTGACAGACAGGATAAGCGATTCGCGCGGCGAGAACAGATAAAACGAGCCGGATGTATAGGATATGATTCGAAATCTCTGCCGTCCTCGGAGGCGGATGTCCCTACAACCCCCCAGTTAAAAATTGTAAATTTAATTATTTATAATGTCCGCGCGCGGCATATAACTGCGTTTGAATATGAAATTATGTGCATATATATCCTTAGCCTTCGGCTCGTCAAGTCACTAAAGCACTTTGTGAAAAGAGAAGAGAAGAGAATCCTCCTCTCTTCTCGAGAAATTAGCACCGTTCTCCGAGCTTGCGACTACTCTGTGAATCTCTCTCTCTCTCTCTCTCTTTCTCTAATGCCCGCCCGTTTCCCCCGTATTTTAAAACTGCCTTAACAGTACTCAGGCGCACACAGTTGATAATCTCCTCCCGCTTTAATTAATCCACTTGTGCGAAATGCCGGCAAGAAGTGCATTTCGACGAGATTGGCGAGCGTGCGCGAAATTCGAAAAGCGCGTATAACGAGCTTATCACGTTTTCATGCCTCTTCGTACTTTTCGTGATTTCGATAAACGAATCCGCGTTTTATCGCGTTTTCGATTTCGTCGATATCACTGTGATTTCCACATTGAATAATTTTGTGATTTGCGAGACGAGGATAAGGCCGCGAAAACGAAAAGGTTTTATTTTATTGCGCAGTGCGATTTATTTTCGGAAAGATCAGAGGGCAGATGTTTTATATAAGTGAGATATATTCTCTTTAATTAGCATCCGATAAAATTTGAACTTCTCATTTCCAATAAAATTTCACGTTGAATAATATCATGATTCGCGAGACTAGGCGGGACAAATGAAAACGAAAAGATTGGATTCTATCGCGCTGTGATTTATTTTCGAAAAGATCAAAGGGGGCAGATGTTTTATATAAGTAAAATACTTGCATTTTTTTTAATCAGCAGCCGATAAAGTTTGTAATTCTCATTTCGCATGAAATAGGCAAATATAAAATACGAGAGAAACAGCCTCATAAATATTTACACCAAAGTGAATAACCACACCACCATAGCTTTTGATGATGAAATGTAATTCAGTATTGACCGGATACGGATGCTTTGTATTCATCGAATATAATTAGTAAATACGCGTTTGACTATATTCAGTGTGTAACGTATGAATATTTAACACATGACAAATCGTCGTGGCAAAATTTCACTACTCACAAACGCATGAGAGTATATGTTTAATTCAATTTTCTATTAATATTTTAATTGGACTTTCAAAAAGTTTTTCCTCTTTTACTTCGATACTGTTAAATCGCGGATAATATTATGTTCAAACCACGCTGCTCAATTTTAATTACGAAGCTTTGTAAATGTCAAAAGTTTAATTGCAATAACGAATTGCTAATGCGGTCGAAAAAAAAAAGGAGCGCGAATCGTGTAATTAGATTGCCAACTCGCGTTAGTCAACGATGACATATCGTACGACGTAAATAATTATCTTTACGCCTTTTTGCACAGCATAACGATTAACATTTAGCGTTTATGAAACGCGATCGACTAGCAAAAACGAACGGGCAGCGAGAACGTTCGAGTTAACAATCGATCTCCCTGGGGAGCAAAACTGACAACATATCGTTCTGCCAGCAAGTACGGGCCAACAATTTCTAAGTGTACTTCTCCGTTGAGAATTCATGTGACGTCTACGAAGCGAGAAGAATTGATAATGCTATAAACCAGAATGCAAAAAATTTGGATAATTTTTGTATTCTTTCGATATAATTTTCTTAGAAGAAAATCATAATTTTTTTTCAATCGTGGTGGTTCCATTTTCTGTCTGACAGAAGTCTTCTCATCTGTATCAACATTTGTTAAACAAAAATAAATTCTATTTTTCTGCGTATATACAGGGTGTCCCCAAGGAAATTGCTGAAACTAATCGGCTATCATTTTTTAATGCATGCAGTTATTGAAGAAATAAAAATTGTGTTGTAAAAAGGAAAGTCTGCAGTTTTTAATGGATATAAATAAAATGTTTGTATACCAGTTTATTTTATTGAAAAAAGGTAATGAAAAAAATGTTAATAATCATATATGTAAACTAATGATAAATATGTTTAAAGTGCGCATTTGAATTTGTACAAAATTCTGTTCTTTTACGAAAACTCGTATAAAACCTTTTTCCAATATATTATTTTTAATGTTATTGATGATCTTTTTAATAGCTGCTATTAAATCTGGCACTGTTGAACATATTTATATTAGTTTATATAATTTTATGTGATTATTAGTACTTTTTATATTACTTTTTATCAATAAAATAAACTAGTATACAAACATTTTATTTATATCCATTAAAAACTGCAGACTTTCCTCTTCCCAACCTAGTTTTTGTTTTCTCAATAACTGCATTAAAAAATGACAGCTGATTAGTTTCAGCAATTTTCTATAAGACACCGTGTAAATACGTTGACATATTATGCACGTGTTGCCCTTGTCGCACATGTGTATGCGAGGTGTAAAAAGTATTTTACTAGATCATATCTAAGGGTGATATCTAAGTAGGTACTTGAGAGGAAAAGCACAGATGTTTGTAGTCCAGATGCGCTTCGCATCATTCTTCATAACGTGTGGTGACCATCGTGTTTCCGCCTCGTTCCGGACATCTTGGCTTCTGCCCTCTTTATATATATCTCTCTCCCTTTTTCTCCTCGTTCTACTTGCTCTTATCAGCGGTGGCAGTAGTAGTGGCCTGCAGTCGTACGGTGGATTGAATGAGCGAATTAAACTTTCATTGCACCGCTGTGGTTCCCACGAGGGACATCGTCTTGGTCTCTTTGTTTCCTGGCGCGGTCCATCTTCTCTCTCGTGTCTTATTATCTTGATTTGCGCGCCTCTCCTGCTTCCGGTATAACGCTGTCCTTGTCTCTCTTCGTTTCCGTTATTGCTTACATTTTGCGCGCTCATCTTTTTCACGGTCTCGCTTCGTTGTTTCAGCATTTTCTCCCGCCTTTTTGTCCCCGTTGCATTTTGGCATTGTGCGACGAATACCGTGAAATTGCCGATTACAACTGTCATTGCGATGCTAATCTTTTGTATATTGCGATTATGCAGTTGTGCCCATCGGATCATAAAAACAAGTTATTTTCATCGCACTTATACCTATACAAGTTTGTCAAGAAAATTACAAGTAGGATCTAAGTAAAAAGAATGTAAATTTAGAAATGTAAAATTCAGAATTACGAATTTACTTTTTCAAGATAAACTGAGTAAACAAATACGGAGAATTTTTGATGTCCGAGATCAGAAAGATTATTATATATCGAAAGGGCAAATGATCTATAAGTGATTGCATCGCTTATACAGTCATGCGGTTTTCGATAATCGTCTACAACAAATCGTTGAATTTGTTGAATTCTACTTTTTCAAACGACAGCATATGTAATGAGGCATGAAATATTAAGATACTGAACAACCAAAACCTCTATCTCGTTTCCGATTCAACCATTGTGGCTCTATTCGCGGAATAAGATACTCGGTCGATACGATTCTGATAGCATCGTTGAAAGCTCGAAGAGGGAAGTTTCGTCGAGAAAACTGAAGCTCGACAGTAGTTGCAATTTTGAAGGCAATATTCGTAAAATTTCTTTCTCACATATGTAATTTTCTTTTCTCCCTATTCACTTCTCTGCTTCTCAGATATAGAGAATTCTATTTCCATTCGAAACTTCGCATTTACATCTCATAATATGCTACTTGCGTATCTTTATCCGCGATAAGTTTAAATAGTATTATCATGCCGCGACGAATTATATTTTACTTTATTTCCAACTTATTCAGAAATAAATCTGTAGAAATTTTGTAAGACGAATAGTGATTTATTTATTTATTCTGACAGTGCTTATGCAAATTAAAATAATGTATTTTCTAAGTTAAAATTAAGGAAATAAATTAGAATGATGAGTTCTTTGTTTTAGAAGTACTCATTTTTTTTAATATCTAAAAGCAAAGTACATCTATCCAAAAAAAGATAATTTTTACTTTTAAAATATAATATAATTATATTTGAAAGAACCGATGTGACATTAATGAGTTTCCTATCATTTTTTGCAACTTATACGTGCGAAATTTAAATAAGTTTGGAAAAACTTTACGAGGGAGATCGATCCTTTCTCCCATTTAATATCTCATCGTAATCACATCGCGAAACATCTTTGCCGGATTCTGTAGGGGATGCAAACGATCATCATCTCCGCAACATTTTTAAGGAATATGTATGAAATTTAAATAAGTTCGGGAGGAATTTTACGAGGGGTCTCGACCCTTTCCCGATCTATCCCATTTAATATCTCGTAGTCACATCGCGGAACATCTTTGCCGGATTCTGTAGGGGATCCGAACGGTCATCACCTCCGCAACATTTTTAAGGAAATAACAGTCCGTTGACTTTGTCCTAGTTTGTATCCCCGTTTGCAGATTCCCTCGTAATCCTTCGCATCTCTCCCATCCGTCGCTCTTTCATCCCCGCCGTCTCGTTATCCCCCACTGTCTCTCTTTCTCTCTCTCTCTCTCTTCGTTCCTCTCCGTTCTGGCGACGCCGACGGAGGACGGACGGACGGCTGTGCCGAACGAGGACCAGCGCAGGCAGACTGCGAACGTCAGAGTGCCCTCCGACTTCGTCGCGTACACATCCCTCCTGGATCGCGACTATCGCGCATATACGTTTGCGATATACGTTTTGCGTTTCAGATTTGTACGTTCTCGTGTGTCGCGAAAAAAAAAAAAAATAACGCGACAATTTGTGAAACTGAAGTCGGTGAATTTACTGGTATACACTTGTGTGATTTTGTGTCCGAATCCTGTCTGAGAGGTAGGCAAGAAAAGCTCGCGTAGTCACGAGGAGAGAAACGGAAATTGAAAACGACGGAGCAATCCGATGGAGAGATATCTACCGTGAGAGAAACTAAACTTCATTCCGCGCGGAATTGCGGAATCCGCCTTCGAGTTCTCTCGATTACATCAGTGCGGAATTTCTGTTCGGTTCTCCTCCGAAGATCTGTGGATCTTCCGGTGGAAACATCCGGTCCGATCATCGGGGAGGCTCTTCGAGAAATATTGTCTTTTTCTAAAATATTATTTACAGTTAAACGAATCTTCATGCGATCTTTTAAATATTTCAGAAGGATCATAATATAATTCGATATACGGATCTATTGTGAAGTGACAATTTAGTTTGCGGTTCGTTTGAATAAAAAAAAGCAAGAGTTTCTATCGATAAATCATTCTCGTCGATCTAAGATGGATATCTGGAAGAAGCGACACTCGTAGAACTTCCGATATTGGTGCCGCGCTCCTTCAACCGTGTCTTACTCCAATTTTTGTTGGAAATTGTGGGAGAAAAGACTGAAGTTGGATCTATCGCGAGAGATCAAGCACGATGCGCTGAGGAAACATCGATCATCGCGGGCCAAAAGCGGGCCTAGACGCGTTAGATGTTCAATTAAATCGTTTCAGCATCGGATAAACGGAATAAACGGGCAGATAGTGATAGTAACAGAGAGCATAAATCGAGAGAGTGAGAAGAGAAAGATAACTGGAGCCGAATCGCATGACTCGATTAATTTGGAGCGACAAACATCGCGATGCTGCTGCACAAGAGCGTTTTATTATTTTAATAAAAAAAAATAATAATAAAGCAACAAACTCGTGAAAGAAAAATATTTGGATCGATTTGCAAGGAATAATTCGGAAAGGTGGTGTGAAAAACGTAAGGAAAAAGTGTAGAATATTCGTAAAAGAATTAAAGCGTATCGCATGGTTAATAATATAATAATGATGGTACGGTTGAACAGATGTAACTGAGTTACTTGTCCGGAGAATTCACGTCGTCAGAGCGGCACAAACGATATAAAAGTTGGAATTTTAACGTCCGCGCGCGCCGAGGGCTGCTATATTAATTGCCCGTCGTAATTGGGGTTTGTAGGGATCGCGCTTAATTAGTTCGGGGTCTATAACGGGTGAACGATGAAGTGGTACGTGTTGGTGTTGGTGTTCACCGGTCTGACTACAGGCGATAACGCCGTCCGTGCGGACAAAGTCCGTGCGGACAAAGTCTTCAACTGCCCGAACCTCAATGCTCAAGATGCGATAGATCTCGACAAGGTATGTGCGTTGCCGTCGTTATCATCGTTCGCTATCACTCTATTCCACACGCACATATGTACGAACACCAGTAATGTTTCTATATATAGGAGTATATGTTTACAGTTTCTAATATTTATTTTTTTTATATTATATACAGTGTCTGACGTTAAAGTGTCAAATCGAAAATGTACAAGTAGATCTTTATTTAGAGACGATTTTTTCCTCAGCAAAAATGTCGAGGAGAGCCATTATTTTGTTTGCATGCTTCCAATTTTTGCCATTATGTATCTTTATAATTTTATAAGTCTTAAATTACAATTTTATTGAAGACCCTACTTGAAATTAATTAGAGAATATGATAATTGAAGAGAAGGTTTGTTTTATTTTCACAAGGCTTAGTTTGCGAGAAACCTTTTCAATCGCTTATAACTCATAAATTAATTATTGATGCCTCAATATTTTTGCTGAGGAAAAATTGTGTCCAAATAACAAGATTTACTTGTATATTTTCGGTGTGACACCTTAATGTCAGACACCCTGTATAATATAGAAATATATATAATATAGAAAATTATTATATATATGTATAATATTATATATAATATATAATAATAACTCTTTTTTATTTTTCTATCTATTAATAAATCTAACTAAAACTCATTTTTTACATGTAGAGCTCTAAATGTTTAGAAAATATATGGTTATTTAAAATTAAAGAGCGTGTTCTTGAAGAACAATTATGCAAGATCTGTATTAATGATAACTAATTAAAGCATTTTATTCTTTCCTACATTTGTCATAAATAAATTTAACTCAAACTCATTACTTAGATATGATTCTTGAGAATGGAAGAATGGAAAATTCTTGAGGAAAATATGTATGATTATTCATTTATAATTTAAAAAGCGTATATTTGAAAAGATAATAAAGGCAAGAGATATATAGCGTATCTAGATATCACCGATACTTAAGATAATGTTTGGGTAAAACATCTATATAAGTAAGGAGATAGTATATCAGGCTTTTAATGTTTTCTGTCACAAGCATTATCCATGAAACCCGCCGATAATTCACTGGTGCGTCATAAGCATCACTCGTGGCTGCTTAGCATTTGCAACCTTTACAACTTTCGTCGGTGATTTCGGAAGAGAAAAATATTCGTCATTATACAAATGCGCCATTAACTTTCGCGTAAAATTCGTCAATATAATTTTCAGCATTCTGCCGCGCAATACATTGTGATTATTATTTCACGTTAATTAATTATTTCATTTAATTTTCTCCGCATTTAATAAAGATAAACTTTATCAATATTATATATCGTCGCCAATTTTCTCTAACATAACACGTTTGTTTAATATATCAATAAACAAACATTCTAATTGTGTTTAAAGTATACACTGTATTGATTTGTTCGATACACGAGGGACTTAATTTGAAATACGTAAAACTAAAATATTACAGAAAATAAGTTTTCTAATTATCGACATTTTCAGAAAACTCGAAACTCGAAATGACAGATAAGTCGAATATGTCAAACCGAATATATCGAGATATATCGAGGCAAGTTTGTCGTTGATAAATTAGTGATATTAATAATATGATGTGACAGTATCGTTTTTAGATATTGTCAAAGTTTATCAATGAAAAATAATAAGTGTGTGCACATACACATACAAAGGAAGAAAAATATTATAAAGAAAACTCGTTAGTTTAGTGATATTTAGTTTGAAACTCGAGCTTTTGCATTACGCTCAAGCGTATGGAGCTTTACTCAATTTGCTTTGGCTGCAGATTTTTACATGCCAAACTAACAAAAAAAGCATAAAAGATAAAGCTTGTTATTTAACATTACAACATTATATTAATACTGTTATATTATCGTGATAATTAAGTTTAAATTTTACAAGATTAAAAAAATTAAATTTTTAAAGAATATAGATAAAGAAGAAAGGTGTATAATTTTATAAATACACATATATTGTTTTTTAGCAAAATTTTTTCTTGTCCAGAATCGGTTCTTAATTTATTAAGTATATATTTCAAAGCAATTTAAACGAACTTGGTACATCAGTGGTAGACACTGTATGTGTACATGCTCCGCTCTGTATAAGCATATACATATACACGTGCAACGTGACGCATTCATTGATCAAACTAGATTTAGTGACGCTGTGTGTCATGGTCTCAAAAATCGGGTCAACTGGTTCTTATCAAAGGACTGCCAAAATTTAATTCGCCGGATAATATACCTATGCGAATTTGCATTTCAGTACACGCGAACCGTCGCTTTCAACTAGCATCGCAAAAAACGACTACACAAGTAATTTGATGGAAACTAAAATATGTAAACGTCACTAACAGATATCTCGATCATTTAAACTTTAAATGGTGAGACTGTATAGTAGTACTTCTTTTTCTTTTTTTTCCTGTCATTTTTTTTACGCAGATAATGTAACTGTACACAAGTGTTACAATTGGACCTACAATCGTTATGGACGAATCGCGTAATGGTTCGCAGTTGGGCGAAGCTTAAAGTATCGTTAATTCAAAACAATTACGAGGTTCCTGGCACGCTGCCTCTACCAAGTTGTTGAGCCGCTCCAGCTTATATAGTTACATACGGAGTGCATTAAGTGTGGGTCATAATTTAAATGGTCGCGTCCAAGACTCGTAATTCCAATCCCACGAGGTTAGCTACGTAATTAATGAACCACTTTTTCCTGCGCGCATAACTTTCTATCATATGTATAGTATCAGTAGCATCATATGCAAAGTACCACGTGTGCAAAATGCTATAAAAATTGTCGAACGTTTTGAAGTTATTCTCTAAAAATCGTATTAAAATCGATTGATAAATAAAGATTTTAATTTGGGTTTAAAATTCGGATATTTTATCGCGAATTGAGGCATTTAAATGTTTAAATTATTTCAATGTCAGTATTTTAGATTGTATTACTTATATTGTACTATATCTAACATATGTATATATATAGTTATAAACATTATAATATTATAAAATAACATTGAAATATATGTATGTATATATAATTCAATGCTATTCCATAATATTATAATGTACATGTATATAGGTTTATCGACATATATGTGAAGTTATCAAAGCCGGCTTAGAGCTCAGGCAGGGTGCATTAAGTGGTCGTTATGAATTAAATCGTCGTGTTCAAGACCTGTTATTTCAATGGAACAAGGTTACTCATACGCTAACGCATGCTGGGTGCTAGTATACTTGCTAAGTATACATTAGTGGCAATCGATAATCCTCTAAAGTATCATTAAATGTTAAATATTCATCTGAGAAAAACCATGTTGTACTTTTCGTTTAAAAATATTTCCTTAACTTATTATCACTTTTAAGTTTAAAAATTATATAATGTTAAAAATATATATCGTTTAGATTACCTTAAAAACTTTAAATCATTAACCGTATGTTTATATTAAGAACTTTAATATAAAGTTGTTCTTATAATATAGAGTTTAATGAGTTAAAACTTTATTTTCTCAATTATTATCAATACTACGCAAGAAAGTTGGTGACCAGATTCCTTGTGAAAGTTTGTATATGCCAAGATTGTGTAGCGAGATATTAAATTGATTATTTCTTTATTCCCGGGCTTAAGTTGTTAGAAATATTTTGACGTAATTGAATATTTTTATTTATAACAAAAAAAATGTAAGAGTGAATACATGATTTTTCATAAATTCAGTCAGGTTGAAACTTGTATGTAAAAAAATAATCTATACATACATCCGTTGTTAAAAGGTACACAGTTTTTTTCATGTACAATTCAACATTTTTATAAAATCATAATATTTATTTTTTTTTACAGTGATTATTTTTATATAGATTCACCGTGTTATGTTATCAAATTCCAAATACACATGACTTCGTATTGGGAGTTTTCAATTTTATAATTTTACTCTTCTTTACCTCTTTTAAAAAAAATGTAGACAAAATCTTAATGTAAATTCCAAAAATGTATTTTTATTATTCTTGAAAACAAAACTTCAATAAAATTTTTCTTCACATATATTTTCTAAACTATCTCGTTTCTTCGTTTCAATGTTGCTGAGTTAACGTTTGAAAGACCACCCTTTTTCGTAGCCTTTCCCATATCCCGTGCACGAACTGGACTTACGCTACATTATTATCAAAAGCTCCTATCGTACGGCCAGTTCTCGACGTTTCTCTTTTCGTCGTCGTTCAATAGGACTCCTTCGAGCTGTGTCCTACAATCGCGCAATGAGCCAAGGGAAAAAGCCCGACTTGTCTACGATCTACGAGAGTAGTAAGTAATGATGAAAATAATATCTATATATGTGTGGAAAGTGCAGAAAGATGTGTCTAAAAATTATTTTCGCGAAAGACCTAAAATATAATTTCGAAGACGTTGTATTTTGCAGCAGAATAAATTATTTCTTTCATGATTCACAAAAGACACACAATAACTGGTGTTGATTTCAGACAAATTCTCATAGAAAATTCATCAATTTCCGAACTCACACATACTTATAATTTGTACTGTAATTAGTGAATACTTTAAAAATAATATCTATATTATATTGAAAAAAAACTCTTATCGAATTATTTTGCAATAGAGAAGAACCATTTAACGACCATAGTTTTTAAAACGGACGATTTGCTGTTCGCATTTGCAGACTTGTGTCCGTGTTTCGGCTGTCACTCTCTAGAAACAGCGTGTGATAAACTGCTCCTGCAAATGGTTCGCCCGTGACGTGTCGAGAGCGAACGTAACTGCAAACTGCATCTGCGACGCTTTCATTTGCGACCGCATCGTAACCGCGCGGCGAAATCGCAGCAGCCACGTCGGCGCGGCAACGACGGTATAGGCGTTATCTTGCTCTGGCAAGAGAAAAACAAGAGGAAAAAAAAATAGACGAAAAGAAGAAAAAAAAGAATATAGGAAACTTTTCTCCGCGCGCTTTTCCGTTGAAAAGGCTTTCGGTGTAAGTTTTCGCGGCAGACAATAAACCACGGC